GAATAGAAGTAGCATTTTCTGATTTACTAAAATAAACAAACAAAAGAAACAAACAAAAACCCCTTAATATTCACAAGGGAGGATTAAGAAGGGGAGTAACAGAGCAAGCAGGAAAAATAATTAGGAGGCTGTTGCTGAGATTCATGTGAGAAATTTTGTATCCTGGACAAGAAAATGGAGATAAATTATTAGATATTTCTACCACTATTCCAAAAAGAGGCACCTGATCCACTAACATGTCATGATTATTGTAGTTTGTTCAGTAGTAGGCAGATCCTTATACAAAAGATAAATTCACTAGGTTCACATCCTTGGTGACGTTAACTACATCTGCAATAAGATTAATTCTCCTCTATCTGATTTGTACTGAACAAGCAACTTTCTGATTGACTCCTGAATTAAGACTTTCTTCAATCAGAGAAAGACAATTATCATATGATCTTACTGATATGTGGAATTTAAGAAGCAAGGCAGAAGATCATAGAGGAAGAGAGGAAAAAATGAAACAAGACAAAACCAGAGAGGGAGACAAACCATAAGAGACTATTAATCATAGGAAACAAACTGAGGGGTGGGGGTGGAGGGATGGGGTAACTGGGTGATGGACACTGGGGAGGGTATGTGTTGTAATGAGCACTGGGTATTATATAAGACTGATGAATCAGACTTGTACCCCTGAAACAAATAATACATTATATGTCAATTAATTGAAAAAAAAGAAAAAATTAGAAAGGTAAACATGTGCCATGATGGATGTGCTGATTAACTCAATTGTGAAAATCCTTTCATAGTGTATACATATATAGCAAATCATTATGTTTTACACTTTAAATATAGTATGATTTTATTTGTTAATTATATCTAAATAAAGGTAAAAAAAGAAGAAATAAATTAATACTTTCAACTTTTCCAGAGTGTTAATTCAAAAATACAAATATTCTAATTATTCCAAAAATGACATAACTTTTTATAACTTTTTAAATTGGCATTTTGACTTATACATAAACTTTTGGTGAGATGATTAGTAGGACCCAATACTACTAAATCTGATCAACTCTCAGTAAACTATTTTTTAACCACATACTACATTGACTTCAATAAAGTAAATTAGTCTTTTATTAAGTTGCAAATCATTTTATCAATATGTATAAAGCATTATATGTGTTAGATCATAGGTACTAACAACTGAGCATATGAAAAAAGCTTTATCACTAGACTGCAATTGATTTACTTATCTGTAGGTTAGTCAAAATGCATAAGGTTTGAGACACTAGTAGACATATTAAAGATAGAGGAGTGGGGGTAGACAAAATGCTAGACATTGAGCCAGTGACACCAAATTCAAGTTTGATATTTTCAACTTGCTGAATATGAGGGTTTGTAACCATCACTTAACCACTTTAGGCTACAATTACTTTCTTTTTGAAAGGAAAGTATTAAATTTGATGAAGATTAATATCCCATTCAGCTCTGAAATCCCATGTCTTATATAATATAAAATATAATCCATTAGTTCAAGAAATAATAAAAGCAATGAAGAGAAGAGAAGAGATTTGACCAAATCAGAATCCAGCTTAATTTTATGTAAATGGGCTAGTCATCAGCCATAGAATGGTCTTTTTTCCAAAAACACTTTCATTCACCCATCCATCCAATCAGGATTATTATTCTCAAAAGGATAAAATGTATAAGAATAGCTGTCACAAATATGTAGATGCATGAAATTCATTTTGATCTTACAGCAATTAAAAGCAAACAACATAAAAATTCATAGACAAGAAGCCCTGGAAAATTAATCATTAAATGTTAACTTAAGAAGCAAGGCACTACAACCCACTCTTTCATTAATTTCTAATTTATTTAATCAAAATTAACCTAGTACCCAATGCATTGTAACAAATTCACAAATCTAATTAAAATATATATATATATTACATTTCTAATATGATTATTAGTGCATTCAATGATTATTGAGTATATACTATATGTTAGGTTCTATGCTAAATAATGGCCATTATCCTCACTGCAGTGGAAAAGTCAAACAAATAAATGAGGAGGATCATAACTTTTCATAAATAATTTGAAGGAAATAATAATGGTGCTATGAAAAACCAGTAATCTGGGGATTCCATATTACTGTTCTTTTACATGACATTTATCCCCAAAAACTGATTGACTAGACCTATTAATTTGATAAAGTATAATATTTATATGCTTTCATGTTAATAATGAGATGAAATAGCTAAATTTATCCTACCTTTTAAAAACTGTCATATAACCTAACTTTCCAGATTAATGTGAACTCAGAATTTTAAATATTGTGCATTAATTTGCTCACTTAAACAAACATCCATTGGTTGTTTCCTTTGGGGCAGAGAATGAATCTCAGAGGTAAATTAACTCAATTCCCTTAATAAATATATTTTTAAAAATATATTAACTAAAGATACTTTTTTTTTAAGATTTTATTTATTTGACAGAGAGAGACACAGCGAGAGAGGGAACACAGGCAGGGGGAGTGGGAGAGGGAGAAGCAGGCTTCCCGCTGAGCAAGGAGCCCAATACGGGGCTCGATCCCAGGACCCTGGGACTATGACCTGAGCTGAAGACAGAGGCTTAACCATCTGAGCCACCCAGGTGCCCCAAACTAAAGATACTTTTAAAAGTAGTTTACTTTTCCAAAGGTACCCAGTTAGGTAGTGGTGAAGCAAGGCAAGGAATCCAGGCCTTCTTGAAATATAGTAAGTTTTGTCTCATTTATTATGTGTGGCTTTTAAAAGAATTATTGCCATTCAAAGAATGACCAGCTAAAAAAGCATTAGTTCTTACTGAGCTTTCAAAAGGTTCATTGAAAAAATTGAGTTGATTAAAACTGTATGAACCTTCTCTGGGTGCCATTTCATGGGTAGAACCAGTGATATTTCTTTTTTTTTTTTAATTTTTATTGTTATGTTAATCACCATACATTACATGATTAGTTTTTGATGTAGTGTTCCATGATTCATTGTTTGTGCGTAACACCCAGTACTCCATGCAGAACGTGCCCTCTTTAATACCCATCACCAGGCTAACCCATCCTCCCACCCCCCTCCCCTCTAGAACCCTCAGTTTGTTTTTCAGAGTCCATCGTCTCTCATGGTTCTTCTCCCCCTCTGATTTCCCCCCTTCATTCTTCCCCTCCTGCTATCTTCTTTTTTTTTTCTTAACATATATTGCATTATTTGTTTCAGAGGTACAGATCTGTGATTCAACAGTCTTGCACAATTCACAGCACTCACCATAGCACATACCCTCCCCAATGTCTATCACCCAGCCACCCCATCCTTCCCACCCCCCCACTCCAGGAACCCTCAGTTTGTTTCCTGAGATTAAGAACCAGTGATATTTCTTATGAGACTTCTGGAAGTTTGTAATTTAAATCAGAAAACTAAGATGCAAAAAGAGACAGATGTAGTAATAACACATAAAAATAAATCCCAAAATTCTTTATTCTCACTAAATGTAAATAACCTTGTCTACTAAAGAATAAAAAGAGATATTTTTTCATTGTGTCCTCATTTAAGAGGGTGAGAAGGTAATAACTTATACTTTTCCAGTTAAATAAAGAATTACAAGATGGTCAATATGTCAATTGCTGCTGGAAGTTAATTAACAAGAAAATGTTTGTGTGATAGACTAAGAAGACATTCTTGGCATATAGTTTAGTCATTGAGAAAGTTAAGTGATTAAAGTAGGGCTTTCAGAATAAATATCTAAGGAAGTTTTAGGGAGAAGCTAAAATTCAAGTAGTGAAAGTTTTACTCTTGGTTGATAGTAAATAAAAGCCCCTATAAAGATCTAATAGCATAGGTTTTAATCTTTTTAAATTTCATTTTGAAATACATGAATAAGCATGCACACAACATACACACACTTTTCCTTTCTAGTCTTCAATCCAACTTCCCATGTAAATGGTTGGGGGGGGGTGTGGGCTGAGAGAGAGGGATGGCGAGAGAAGGGAGAGAGATATGAATGATAGAAGATGTACCCTATGACCTAGTTGTCCTCTTTACTTGAACTTACTGTTAAGATATGGAAAATGTGTAAGAAAAAAAATGGTGGGTAGCATTGTGTCTCTAGTACCCATCTCTTTAGATTTCCCACCTTCATCCTTTTAGAACCCTTATTACAACAGAAAGAAACTCAACATACTCTAGCCAACGATGATTCCTGGCCAGAAGGAAGCTAGCCAGGGTTATGAGAATTCTAGAAGCAGCTGATTCTCCTGTTTCATTGATGCTCATGTACCAATTTTTCTGCTCTTCCCTAGCCCTTTCTAAGGGTCTGGGTTTACTGTTGACTCCTGCATTTTGACATAAGGTCAAAGACATGGGGTCACATCTGAAAAGACCTTTCGTTCCTAAATTGTGCCTTTTCCTGGAAGGGAACAGTAAAGGGTCTCTCCAGCGCTATTCTGCTACCTAATTCACAAAAGCTGCTGGCTCTTCCAATGCTAAGTCCTGAGGCTTTCTTCCCCCAACTCCCTCCAGTCACAGTTAAGGCTCTGCACCAGTTATTCACCGCTTTTTTTAAAGGGTAAAGTGTTAAGCACCGCCTACGGTCGTGAGTGGCCTGCCACTCTGTCCCGCTATGCGGTCGTGATTGGCAGACAGAACAGTGTCGTCTGGCTCCGCCCCCGCTTCCCTTTGCCGCGCTAGCTGTGACGGGTTTTACTCAAAGGTGGAGAGTGGGATTCGGCGGGCGGCGCTTGGAGCAGGTGCAGAAGCATCCTTGTTCCCGCTGTTGCTGCTATTTTTTCTTCAGTGTCTGAGAGTCAGGCATTCTTTCTTTGGCGCTAGAGCTTCAGTGAACTGTTGCCCAGAACCTAGGCACTTCAGACATTTCATCTCACCCCTTATTCCGCGTTCACCGTATAAGTCACCTGCACGTTTGTACCCTGAGAATCTTCTTTCTGCTCAATGCTTAGAGCCTGGGTCGAAAGGGAATTTCAAGTGTTTGAAAGAAAAGGTCTTTACTTACTGCGGGGAGCTGTCTAAGGTGCTGAAGCTTTCCAGGCGTTCGTCTCCTGCAACACCACACGGAGTTAGATTGCACATTTTCGTTCCTGGTTTTCATCCCCCATGCCTTGGATAAGACTAATTTCAGGATCGTGAAAATCTCTCCGTATCATGGCCCACGTGAGACACTTTCGGACATTAGTTTCGGGATTTTACTTCTGGGAAGCTGCACTGTTACTCAGGTGAGTCCCCTTATATTTACCAATTGAAGAACTATTTAAGCCTGTGCACTAGGTTGCAACCACTTGTTATTGATGAAGTCAAGAATGCAATTCGAAATTGACTTGTTGAAAGTATCCCTTAAATCGCATTGTTTTCTATCTAAAACTGTCCAGCAATTTTAGAGGTCTATCGAGACCTCTAAAAACATGTAATTTTGTTCTAGTTTCACTAATTAGAGCTTTTTAGTAACTGGCCTCATATTATTTGCAGCTGAGATTACCCTAGAAAAATTATTTCCCAAACCTAGGTTTTCTTCCTCAAATTGCTTTTAGAGTTTCTTTTTTCTAAGTTAAATATAAATTCTGAGGGTTACTCTCTTTTTGAAAGTTACAAAACATTTAGTAATAGAAATAATATTTTTAAGTGGCAAAAAATCTAGAACACAAGCATACACTGATCAGAGAAATTCTGAACATTGTTGGTATATCCAGAGGTTGAGTTAAATAAATAACACTTAAGGCCTTACAAGTGCCATGTCTAAAGAGCTTAGCTCAAGTAACACATGAAGACAAAATCATAAATCATTAGATATGTTGTATGTCAAGAATAATCTTTTTGGAGAAAGTGATATACGAAGCCTACTGAAGAATAAAATTGTTCTATGACATGTAATTTTCTTATCATGTCCAGTCATATTTGGTGGGCTTTCCTTTTTATTTATTCTTTTAAATAAAGAGAGGCTAGTCAAAAGATCAGATAATTTGACCTTTATTCTTAATCAAACAATATATAAGCAAGGTTATGCTCATATAGATTTTGAACCACCATGTAAATTTTACTTTACTATTATAATTACCCTAAGATTTCCATTTTTATGGTCCACAAGCTTTTCAAGAGGATTGAAATCAAATAATTAGAGTAAGTTCTGTATATTAATTTTTATTTTAGGTATATAAATATTGTCTTTTGGGTTGTTATGTCAATTTTTTCATCTTTGGGCACCTTAGAAAACATAGTGTATGTCATAAAAACTGCCTTACAGAAAGTTATGTTATTTTGACATGCCTGTAGTAACAGGAACTAATTGTGAAGGTTATTTTAATTTTGAAATTATTTATTTTCTGAAGTACAGGGTTGAACCACTATAAACTAGGATATTTTCAGTGAAAAATATTTTAATATGACTATAAACTTTTGTAACTACAATTGTTACAAATTTTATCTATAGTGATTAAGAGAAAGAGTGTAGAGCTTTTATATTTACAAAAATTTCATGGAAGGGAGCACAAAATTCATGTTATAAGTGAAATGGATCATTTTACTATAATTATTTCTTAGTATCTTAGATTATGATATGCATATTTTTTTCAAAGAAATCAAAGTAACTTAGTTGACAGACAGTTAGATTTAGGAAGTTTAATGTCAGTAACTAAACCATTTTGGTCAATAAGGTCAAATTTGTATAATGTAATTCACCATGATATTTGTTATAATATATTCTTAGATATATAATCTTCATCAGTATATCCTCTGATTTTTGTCTGGTTTTATTGGAATTCACAAAAATTTTATTTCAAATTGATGATCATAATTATAAAAAATGTCTTCCTTAATATTAAATAATTATAATAAAAATGTTTTTTATGAATAATCCAAAGATGTAATCTCTTGAAAAACACATACCCAATATAGAAGTTTGTATGGTATATATATTCTTTATCATCAGGTTTTTCTTCTTCTTTGAAAATTAAATAAAATTTTTCTCTTAGACTGGTCTTAGGTGAGAGTAACTCATCACTCTATGAAGAACTTTAATTATGTTTAAAAATTTAAATATATTTATTTTCAGTGATGGCTCTTAAAATAAAATTTCTTATAGTTAAAAAAAAGTGATGCTCCCTCTACTGGAAATATTTTGTAAAATAAATGTCCTTATGAAAACTATTCTTTATTCATTAAATCTATTTCTTATGTATAGAGGGAAAAGGAAACATAAAATAAAAAATAAAGACAAAAAAGTAGTATTAATTTACAAATATATCTTTTTAATTTAGAAATATTCTTTTAAGGCAACTTGGAGGCAAGAAATACAACTGGAAGCCATAGTTATTTTTAATTAAATAATTTATTAGTACAAGCTTCTTCTGATAGGTTTAAGGATTTTTAAAAACCTTATTGAGATATAATATACACACAAAAAAGTACACAAATAATAAGCTCCCATGTAAAGTTTCACAAAGTTAACACACTCATGTGAAGAGACCATGGATCAGGAAGTAGAATTAAAAGAACTATCATATGATTTAGTAGTCCCAGTTCTGGTTATTTATCTAAATGAAATAAAGTCAGGATCTCGAAGAGATATTAGTAGTTCTATGTTTATTGCAGAATAGCTAAGGTTCTATGTTTAGTCACAATAACTAAGGTGTGGAAACATCAAATGTCCACTGACAGGTGAATGGATAAAAAATGTGGTATATAACTACAAGGGAATACTATTCAGCATTTAAAAAGAAGGAAATTCTGCAATATACAACAACATGGATAGATTTTGAGGACATTATCCTTAGTGAAATAAGCCAGGCACATAAAGATAAGTACCCCATGGGAAAAAAAAATTAAAAAGTAGAATGGTCAGTATCACAAATGCATTCCCCCTCCCACTGCCATACCTTTTCCAGGCACCACTTTGCCCAAAGATAATCACTGTCCTGACTTATACAACAATGAATATGTTTTTCTGCTTTTGAACTTTATATAAGTACTTATTTGAGTCTGCTTTATTTTTACGAGCATTATGTTTATGTGATTTGTCCATGTAAGTGCATTTGGCAATAGTTTGCTTATTCTCATTGCTGTATAGTATTCCATTACATGAAGATATTACAATTTATCCAGTGTCCTATGAAGGATATTTGGGTATTCTTTTCGGTTTTGGCTACTGCAGCCATGAACATGCTTGAACATGTCTTTTTGTGAGTACATGTGAATACATGTGAATACATGCATTTTAGGGGCAGTATGGGTTGGGTCTAAGACTTTCTCTAGGAGAGGAATTTCTGGATCATAGGGTGGGCATGAGTATGTTTAGCTTTATTAGGTATTGCAAATTTTCCAAAGTAATTGTACCTATTGATATTTCTATCAGCAATGTGTAAGAGTTTCTGTTGTTATTACTAGTACAAAGTTTGTTAAGTGTATATTATTATAAACATTTCTAGCATTTTCTTAGACTATTATTGCAGGCCCACAGATGATATTTTAATTTTTTTTATCTTGGCATAATTTCTACTTTTTAGTAAATGAGTTTTACTAAGACAAAAACAGGGGAACAAATATATTTACTTCTATAATACAATTAGAATTATTCATTACCAGATTACATCAGGTATTTTAAAAATACAATTCTTGAAGGGAACTTATTTAAAAAAAGATAATTACTTAAAACATACAAGTGAGAAAATTGTGTAAACAGATGCGAAAAATCTGAATTTCCTAGTAGTAAAGTTTTTTAAAAGTTTCACACTTTGCTCAGATATTGCTGTTTTTTGAAACAATCCTTCTAGGCTTTTGGGATCTAGTCCTCATATTAATAAAGAACAAAACACCAGTGTTCAGCCTTCTTTGAAATGCAGATAAGTGATGAGTATGAGGAGCTTACAGAACAAATTCTAAAAACAGGAGAACTGCCAAAAATATTTCATTTAAATTGATTATTTTCATAAAATACAATTTTATTTTTCATCTTTACAATTTTATACCAACACAGACTTGCTACTTGAATAAATTATGGTACAGTCTGTCAAAAACTAAATGTGTGAATTTCAGACTTCATGATAATCACAAATAAAATGCTTTCTTGGTTTACTTTGAAGCCTAAGAAAAACATTTTGACATAGAATTTCTTGTTTTTGCTTTTGGTATGTTTTGGAGCATGGGGAGAAATCCTTTTTAATGTTGGCTCTATTTTCTTATGTAAGATACTAAAGAAAAATGTACTTCAAAGAATAAACTTTTACCACAAAGATTTCTTATATGCAGGTACAGTAGTAAGATTCTATATAATTTTTTTAAAATTATGCTACACATAATATATGCTCCTTAGGTTTACGTCTATAAATAATCATACATTTTCCCAAGTATATAAGGATCATGACCCAGTTCTTTGGTTAGTGCCTCAGGCAATTTGCCCTGTAGGTTCAGAAAACAGCTTGCAAAATATTTCCTATGCTATATATTTTTTCCTCCCTTGACTACAATTATGTACTGAGGCAAGTCAATTAACGAATATGTATTTAATGTATAACGTTAAGCAATTCAACCAGATTACCAAATTCTGTGCACAAATTTTTGTGCTAGGTACAATTTGGCTGACTGGGAACTACCACTTTTCCCATCACGGAACTTAAAGCACAGCAGGGAAGAAAATACAAAGGACCAAATAACAAAAGAAAAACACAAACAGCAATGTTTTGGAAATGTGAAGTAGGAAAGCTATAAGGCTTGGTACTTTGGATCTTGTTAAGATGCTTGTTCACTGGGCCGAAATGAGACATAAAGGAAATGATAATGGGTATATAGTATGCTTAAAGAGTGGTGATTGTCAAATTCAGTGAAGAAATTCTGATTTATGGTGTATGTTCATATTCTACCGGCAACAACTACTGAGCTGGCTGCAATAATAAACCTGCAGAAATATGGAGAACTAACAGCTTCCTTTCACAATAGAATATGGATAAATTTTTTTAAACTTTTTATTTATTTATTCATGAGAGACAGAGAGAGAGAGAGAGAGAGAGAGGCAGAGGGAGAAGCAGGCTCCCAAGGAGCAGGGAGCCTGATGCGGGACTCGATCCCAGGACCCTGGGATCATGACCTGAGCCGAAGGCAGACGCTTAACCATCTGAGCCACCCAGGCGCCCGAATATGGATAAAATTTAAAAACACATAATTTAATTATAACTGGATAGTTGTCATAGGAATGGTCTTTTAACTTGGCTCAAAATATCTCAATAAAATT